ACACCCTGACTCGCAATCGCAGCCCATCGAATATTGTACTTGTGCAAAGGGCCGCGGCGTAAAAGTTCCCTAGTCTTCGTTCCAACGCAACACACAAGCCCTTCCCCCCTTCCTCGAGTCCTTCGGAAGCAGAGGACGCGGGCGCGACACACCGATCAGGCGCGCCGAAGCAGCAGCAGCAGCAGCAGCCGACGGTCATCTCCCGGCGTCGGCCAGCTCCTCGGCCACAGCGCCGGCCGCGGCCATGTCGAAGAAGAAGGCGGTCACGACGATGACGCTCAAGGACTTCCACGGCGGCTCCATCCCATCCGAGCTCCCGCTCCCCTCCGCCCCCGGCGTGTAAGTTCCTGCCAAACCCTAGCCCGCCGTTGCTCCTCCGCTCCCTCCTTCCGATATGAACTGACCAGGTTCGTCTCGTTTGCCGCAGCACCCCGCGCCCGGCGGACCGCACCGTCGCCTCCGCGTCCCCCGTCGCAGCCGCGGTCGCACGGCCACGCGTGCCGGTCGCTTCGCCTACCGCCGCTGCGGCGGCAGCCGCGATGCCTTCCTTCCTCACCAACCCGTCCCGCATCGGCCGTCACTTCGACGAGGACGAGCGCACCCCCTTCGAGCCCGCCGCGCCGCGCCGTCCGGCGCCGTCCCCGACGTCGTTTGCACCGGCTCCCGTGGTGGCGCCCACCAGATCCGGGCCCGGGAACGCGTGGGGCCCGAGGAAGGAGGCCTCTCCGGCGTCTTCCCCTGTGAGTCCTGCTCCTGCCTCCGCCGGCGGCCAGATCTGGTCCGCGACACGCATCGCCCAGGCGAGCGCAGTTGAGAAGGTCATCTCCGGGAGATGGCACCCGTCGAAGCCCTCGTCTCCGCCGGCGCCAGTGCCAGTGCCAGTGCCAGCTCCGGTGTTGGAGACTCCCGTGGCCCCGCCAGTGATTGAGAGGCCTAGGTCTGTTGGGGTGAGAGGGCTGGATAGTGGGGTGGAGAAGGGCGCGGCACCAGTGAGACCTGCGTCGCATGAAGGAAGGGTTGGGGAAGGGAGAGCCGCGGAGGTGCCAGAGAGACCCAGGTTGAAGCTGCTTCCTCGGTCCAAGCCAATTGAGGCTCCTGAACAGTCTCCTACCTATGTTGAAGAGAAGCAGGTTGTTACGATTTGTTCTTTCCATGCCTGTGTTGATCAGATTGCAATTTTTTTTTGCTATGTCTTTCATCAATAGCAACAACCAACAGTACAGTATTTGCCTGCTAGAATGCTAGATATACCTCTAGGCAAATGTTACATGATTGTTTGCATAATTTTGTGTTTGTTGTGGTTTCTTTATTTTTGGAAATCTAATTGTTTTTCATTGGTGATGTGGTTGATTGTATAGGTGCACCAGGTCCAGGTTACTGCTAACCTCATGAAGGCTGAGGTTAATCATGATGTGCACCAGAATGCAATGACTGCTAAAACAGTAGTTTTAGGAACAGATGCTGAGAGCAAGGTAGCAGAGCGACCACGTCTGAATCTGAAGCCTCGTTCCTATGCAACAGGACAGTCTGATGAAATTGCTGTTAAGGAAAGGTATGCGACAATCCAACAATGTCCGAGCTCCTATTTTGACTAACATTCTACCCCCAACTTGCATATAGCGTCTCTGTTAAGCGATCTTTGGTTACTTCAAAATTAGTGTCAAGCTACTCACTGCTCTTTCAGTTTTTTGTCCCTGTATGCATTTGTTATGCAATTTAGGGCATGTTTGGATCACTAGGGCTTTACTAGCTGGGGCTAAAAACTAGAGTTGGCTAACAACTAGTTGAAGGCTTGGCTAAAAAGTTTATGTACCTATTAGCACTCCTGTTTGGATGCACTAGGGCTGATTTTTGCTAATTTTTAGCTAGCTAACAATTAGCTCTTGTATCCAAACATGCCCCTAGCTTAGCTTGCTGCATTGCTTTGGAGTATGGAATCATATTGGGTTCGAAGATTAAAACAAAACCAACTATGTCCTCTAGGGTCAGTGTTTTTGCATCCCTTTTGCCTTATGCTTTTACGCAGGTAATGTTTAATTGAATGCCGTAGGGTTGGTTTTGTTGTCTATATGATTAGATGGTGTTGTTCACCTTCAATTTCGTCAAATAATTAGTGATGACTGAATGTTGCATCACTCCAGTCTCCAACCATACATGAAAAAAAAATTAGTGAAATCTATGAAGCAAACATTTTAGTATTTCATTCTATCAATTAAAAAAATTATAATTCTGCTTGTGGTAAAAAAAATAATTCTGCTTTGGATGAGATCTCCAAGAACAATGGATAATGGTAAAGGAGAATATTGATGGTTGCAATGAGTCGTGGTAGGAGAATGATGTCTATATTCATAGATTGTAGGTACCAGCACCTCGTTCTTTTCTTGGATATGTCAGAACTTGGATCTTTTTTTCACAATTTATTAGTGATGCTTTGTTTGGCAACAATTAGGTCTGAGATCAATATATTCAAGTACTGTGTATGATACATGTAGAGTTAAATAACTACTATTTTGACTTCCTTTTGTTACTTTAAATGCCCTAGGCCATCCCTCTTTGGTGGTGCTCGCCCCCGGGAACAAGTATGTACTCTGTGCCTTTTTATTGATATGCTATTTATTCCTTTTTGTTTCTGGCTGAATCAAAATCTGATATTGTTCTTTTACAAATTCAGGTTCTCAAAGAACGCGGAGTGGATGTTTTGGCCAGTGATCTTGAGAAGACTTCACCAGTTGGCAGGTTGTTATATGTCAGTGATGCTTTATGTTTATATTGATAGATGCATTTTAGTTAGGTTGTGGTGATACAATTTTGATTACAGTTCACAAGTTCTGATTTATTTGTTGGAACTAGATACATAGGTTTTACTATGCACTTAGATATACACTATGTCTAAATACGTAAGTAAAAGTAATGTATCTAAAAAGGCCAAAACATCTTATAATTTGGAATGGAGGGAGTATTTTGTTATATTATTATTACATGAAAGAAACCAGAAACAGATAATTTGATCTTATGGGGACAACATAAGATAATTAATCTCCAATAGGTATTTGCATGGATTTCTGATAATTGAGTGACGCTAATGATATTTGAGTAGTGTGCTTCAAGAATCAGTTGGTGCTTTATGTCAAGAGTTTACCGTTCTATTAGGAGAAAAAGGGATCATATTGTGTTCATGCCACAGAAATTCACTAGGTTTCATTTGATGACCCATGGAATGTACCGATGAGGAAAATTATAATGCTTGCTGTGCAACCTTATCAGTTTTTTCTTGTTTTATGGTAACTCGTGATGAAGTTTTTTTTTTCCTTGAAATCGTTTTTTACTTGCAGAGGTTACTGGAGAACAGCATAGGTTGAACTTGTGTTACATTACTGATAGTCTCTCTGTCATTTGTAGGTCTAAAGGTGAATTTGCAAAGGTTGAGCAGAAGGTTGAAGCTTTGTCCATTAACCCTTCTGTTGAAAGAGCTGATGGTTTTCCAGCTGGTCACAGAGGCCCAAGGAGTGTTGATAAGAAAGATTACAAGCGGGATACTGACAGGGCTGATGCATATAGGCCTACTCGTCGGGAGGACAACAGGAGGGTCGCTAGAGATATGGAGAAGCCACAGGAGCAACCACGCCCAGAGCCTGAGACATGGCGTAAGCCAGTGGAGCCTCCAAAGCTAGAGGTTGCAACACCCCGTTTTGGGAAAGCAGCAACTGCCTTGGAGCTCGCCCAGGCCTTCTCAACGTCCATGTCTGATACCGCACCCCAGAGCCGGTTGACCAGTGTTCCCAGTTCAAGAGTTCCTCCTAGCCCAGGTGCTAGGGATCAGTCTGGCTTTTCAAGGCTCACTGACAGCAGGACGTTACACTCCAGCCCTTCCCAGCGAAAGATAAATGGCTACTGATTGCTTGGCACACATATTAGATGTGCCACGATGACACAGCTCAGGTATCATGGCCTCGATGAAGCGCCCTGCTGTATCTTCATACTCAACTGCCCCTGCGCGGAGAAGTCCAATTGTTGCTCTGTCAAATGGTGGCACGCGAGGGGTGCTAATCTCGTTGGAAGCAAACAAAAGGCTCCTCTCCCATAAGTTTCTGGTCAGTGGTTTATAACTGAGGGTTCATTACGAGAGATGTGAATTTGTGAACTATTTCTGCTTATGTTCGCCAGCTGCGATTTATTGCTGGGGAATAATTGCTACCTGTGCTGCGCACCTTAGTTGGATGTGACAGTATGTATCTCTGGCGTGCTTGGTTTTATGATGTTGCCAGATCGGTGGTACGCAGCCTGTGTTAAAATGCATTTTTCGGGCCTTGTCTTCATAAGCTGCAAAATTGGGATTTTATTGTGCTAGTTTTTCAGGAGAAACTATTGGTACATTGTAGTCTTGTACGGTTATATTATGATTATTAAAGGATATAACCTTCGATCTTGGTTGTCTAGTTGATGTAAGCCTCGTTTGGATCGCCTGAATTTCATTGGATTCCAAATGGAGCTAGTATGAAAGTTATGTTTGAGAATCCTGTGTAATTGGTGCTATCCAAATGAGGCTCTGAAGCTTTCGTTTCGTTTTTTATTTGATCTCGTGTTCCGTGGGTTACGATTACAATTACATGTGTTGTTAGAATCTGGATGATTCAGGTTGAATTGCCCAATTTGCATCAAAACAAAATGACGTGAAACTGGGAGCACTAGATTCCAGTAGCTGTGGAACAGTGGAAGTAGCCAAGTCGCGGTGAAACCAAACGGAGCAAATTTTGGTAGCACTACGGCTGCAAGAGGAATCACAAAAGGCGAACACTGCCCAGGTTGGGGGAGGAGAATCCGAAACAGCAGAGTTGTGTATGCACGTCAGAAGCACTAAGCTAGGGATCGGCTTTGTGAGCATCGATCAGGTATTCAGGTTTGGAGCACAAAGCAGGAAAGCCGTCGTCGTTCGTGGAGCCGCACCACCGCACACACGAGGTACACCGCAGCCGTTTTGCTTGCTTGAGGCTCGCCGGCGCTCAGAACAGGAAGGCCGTCGGCGTGAACGCCGGCAGCACCGTCGGCTGGCCGTAGTGCCTGCAGGGAGAGAAGATGGATGCACCTGAGTCAGCGTCAACAGTAAAGGCTACTTTAACTACTACTGTAGCGACATAAGCGAGCGAGCAAGTGTTGGTTTTTTACGATCCACGTCATCATCTACAGAAGGAAGTCACCAGTACGTTGGAAAGCTTTATTAAGCGCGGGCCGGGTCCTCTTGCAACCTGCAGTGCATTGTGCATTGTGCATTGTGCGCTGATCTTTTCCAGGTACGATGATGCTTGGGTACCGTTTAGTCCCTCCTCAAAATGCCAAAATTTTCGAGATTTTCTATCACATCGAATCTTTAACATATGTATGAAGCATTAAATATAAATAAAAAATAAAACTAATTATACAGTTTAGACGAAATCCACGAGACGAATCTTTTAAACCTAATTAAACTATGATTGGACATTAATTACCAAATAATAACGAAAAAACTGCTACAATGTTATTTTGCAAAAAAAATCGGCATCTAAACAGGCCCTTGATGCCCAGTGGACAAGTGGTAGTGGTAGGCCGTAGGCATAGGCATAGGCATCGTGGTCACAGAGTACTGTCTACTCGTTCACAGGTTCAGTTCAGTCATGCAGCAGAACTGCAGAAGGCAGCAGCTCAGCCTTGTGGCTCTGTTGGGGTGGCCAGCCAGACCGGGTCACCAGCCACTAGGGCATGGCAGCGCAGCTTGAGTTTGACTACGGCCAAAGCGAGCTGGGAAAAGGTCTCTTTCTGACGCATGTACTACCGATTAAAAGGTTGTACAGTGGAAACTAGTATGGCATCTGGAGTTGAGCTGTTGGATAAGAGCAGGTATAATAATCGCCTTTTAGCCGGCGAAGAGGATCCACGTCATCGAAAAACCAGCCACGTAGAGAGAGAGAATTTGGAGCGGGCGGTAAACTCCTCGCCGACTGCAGCGCAACGTACGAGGAGAAAACGTCTTTTTCTAGCCGGCTGCGAGCGAGAACCCATTTCAGTACTATTGTATGATTATTAAATGGGGTCCATGGTCCATAATATAGTTGGCTATATTTGCTGACTGTATATGACATGTCATGCTCTTGCAGCCGGCAGCAGGCTAAATTGTTAGACTTGCTAAGGATAGCGAGCCTGTCCGCCGTGGAGAACCCATCAGGGATGGGGTCCATGGTCCATGTAGTGGAGGCTGTTTGCAGGCGGTACTCAACTGTTCGTTCGATCATATTAACCATATTTATCAGTCATAATATAGTGTTTTTCTCTTACAATAAAATAGCATCAGCTGATTTATAAGCCACATGGTGCTATCTCTGATTACTGATAACTAACTAACGATCCATTCCAAAATTTAAAACTCTGATTATTATTCGTAATGGTCCAAACATCAAGTTTGGGATATGTGTAGATTTGAGAGATGGGTATTAACTAATCTTCCGGTATTTAACCTATACTATTATTCATTTTGACACAAACGTCAGGTCCTCGAAGTTTACGTGCACAAAATCATACAAGTTTTTCGTTCAAAAAAAATCATACAATATTCAACATGGGGTACACACGTTCTAGCTATTACTAGTAGTTGATAAAAATAAGTTAATGTAGGCTGATTTTAGCCAGTTATTTAGTCCACTTGGAGACGACAATTTGCAAGATGAAGTTGACTGCTCCCATAAGCTACGTACCAAAAAGTAGGTTTCACCCGATCGAGAGGGTCCTCCTCTCGTGTGCGCCAAATCTTTAGTGGACTTTCGTGAAGCATCCAACCCAACTAAAATTAGGTGCCGCGCGCGAGTTGATCAACTATCCTATCCACCGTTTCCGTCACTGTCATCCATCTTCGTCCAAACCTGGAAGGCTAGCTGGAAGGTCACCTTCTTTTTCACGTAGAAACGTGTGCGCAAGGGCTAGCCCACAGGAACGCATCAGGGGTCTACTCGGCTGTGACACGCAACGTCGTCCATCTCCACCCTCCCGGGAGGAGCCGGCGCCCAGGGTCAACGGACGGACTGGGGCGTGTCGCGATCTGGGCGCCCCTACCCTCTCCCTCTCCTCTCCCTCGCCCCAGTCGCCACCGCACGCACCCACGGCCACGCACGCACGGAACACGAGCGCCAAGGAACTCACCGGAAGTCGTCGTAGCTCGCCGCCCGGGTGGCGCGGCGTGGCGACCTCGCCCTGGCCTTGGGCGGCGCGGCTGGCTTCTTCGCCTGCGCCTTCGCCATGGACGCGGCAGTCATGGCGGCGTCCTCGGAGATGGCGCCCAGCGTCGGCTTCCACGCCGCGGCCGACCCCGACGAAGACGACGATGAAGGCCTCCGGCGCCGCTTCTCCGCGGGCGCAGCGGCGGCGGTGGCCGTGGCGGTGTCGTCGGGCGCCGCAGGCGACGTCGGCGGCGGCCGGCGCGCGCGCCTCACGAAGGCGAACAGCTTCATCTGCTGATCTGCGTGCGCCTACGTGTGGCTAGCTTCCGGTCCCCTGCCCCTGCAGGTTTTTGCTTTACCGTTGAATGGACGGACAGCTTAATTAGGCTTAGCTGATCTGCATCACGGGGCGTTTTGTGGTGGGCGGCTGCCGATTTGGCCCTTATTATATGCACAACAGCAGGGGGTTTGCACCACTTGTTAGTTGTGACTGCAGATGACTAAAATGCCCTTTGCTCCTTAGGACAAATCTAGCGGTGAGTTTCGTGGCGTTGTTTCCAAAGCCGTAATGTCACATACAATGAAATCAAACTCGAATGAAACTCTTCCTCGATCTCAATGTAAAGTTTCATTCTATAATTTCATAGGCATCTAATTCTATGACCCATAGAGAGTTGGTAATCGTGCTAAGAGAGTTTCATCTCTCTTCTTAAATACACTGTCATGTCATAAAAAATACATATATAACGACTTATTTAATGCAAATGAAATTCACATGAAACTCCCACCGAGACCGGTCTTAATTAACACTAGTACTACTAGCTAGAATTTTTCAGGGAACCTGCAAACTTCCCCCAACTCAAGCGGGGGTTTGATTGGATATACCTATTTCCTCTTAATATTAGTATCTGGATTTTATTTGAAAAGGTAACTGAGTAAAAAAAAAATTCGCTCATCAATCCTACTCAATCTACAGCACTTCACATGAGGAATGGATTTATCCAAACAAGCTTCAAATGTAGAGGAAACATGTGTAATGAGTTGGAGGAGATGATGCACTGCACAGTGCACACTACACGGGGTACAAAGCCTCAACGCGGCAAGGATATGATATCCTAAATGCTGTTTTCCACTAAAAACAGCAGCAACACACTGTTGGAGCTAAAGGTAGACCTGTTTCTACAGAATGAAGCAATGATCGATGGCGCTCAGGAGCCCACAAAATAGCGGGACCATAATCACCAAGAAAATGAGCCAAACCAATATTTTCCGCTAAATATAATTCTAGGTAGACATTGCTAAATCGAGACAAAAATGTTCAGAGAAAATAAAGTCAGCTGACTGTCCAGATCGATTTTTTTGGGTATTTGGCACCCCTTTTAATTTATCTAATGTACTAAAATTATGCCCGTGCGTTGCAACAGAAAAAAGTATCATAATAATTCAAATTTGAGTCTAGATATTTACGTGCTTCAAGAAGTCGAAGGTCGTCTTGGATTAGTGCCTGTTTAGTTTCCAAAATTTTGCAAAATTTTTCAAAATTTCTCGTCACATCGAATCTTTAGACGCATGCACGAAGCATTAAATATAAATAAAAAATAAAATTAATTACACAGTTTAGACAAAATTCACGAGACGAATCTTTTAAATATAATTAGACTATGATTAAACACTAATTATCAAATAACAACGAAAGTGCTACAGTACCATTTTAAAAAAGATAGCCAACTAAAGAAGGCCTTAGTGGGCCCCTGCAATTTGGTGCCCGTGCAAAGCACGTTTTCCTGCTCCTACTGTTAGGTTCGTATAGGATAAAAAAATCGTTTTAGACTTTTTTTCTCCTTGTACAGCGTTTGCATGTCGACTCAGATGGAGTGATCATGGAAACTGGCCCGTAGGCAGGAGTTCAATTATGAAGCAGTTGTGATGACATGGATGGCAGGTGATTTCGTATTTAGGGGGTGTTTGTGACGGTTCTGTTCCTGTTTTTCCAGCTCCGTTCTAACTTCGCGTTGCCAAACACCTCCAACTCTAGAACTAGAGGTCAACTCCATATTTTTTCTGGAGCATCTCAAGAGGTCCTCCAATTTTTAAAGTTTTGTACTCTCACATAAAGTTATTGAATAATTACCCAACTTGCGACTCATGCATGTACGGCTGTACCGGTTTGTTTTCTAATCTGTTCAGACTCCCTCTACGCGTGATTTTTTCCTCCGCTCGAGACGCTCCGCTCCATATGCACGCTAGGCAACATACTGTTCGTACCATTGGTCATGGGTGATCATGGCAAGTCAAGCCAGATCATTCGGACTTGCCATTTTCTTGAGCCATGCCAGCGGCAGGACGAGTTTGGAATCAATTCCATTGCTGGAATTGACAGGCCATGAGAAAGGAACTTTGTTTAATTTTGAGTAAAATGCACCATAGGGACTCAAACTATTGTGCGGTTCTCAAATAGGCACTCGAACTGAAAAACCTACCTACTAGATACTGGATCTATATTGTTTGGTCACCAGCAGTACTAACTTGGCCACGTAGGCAACATCAGCTCATGTCCAAGCCACCCTAGACGCCCATTTTGCTAAAAAACCCCCAGCCAAACCATCCATTCACATTCACAGTTCATTACATATGCTAAGAAAACCACCCAGCCTAACCATCCATTCACATTCACAGGTCCCATTTTATATGCTAAGAGAACACACCATCCGCATCATCCATCCATTCACAGTGACATATATTGACTGAGAAACCATTTACAGCCTGTTCGCTTGCTCGTAAACGATCGTAAATTTCTAGCCGGGAACAGTGTTTTTCTCTCACACCAAACCAGCCAGCAGTAAATAATCCACGATACGATACGGCCTCTCGAACATGCTGTTATTTCTATAGTTGTGGTCATTACAGCCAAGATGTCATCAGCAAACTAGGAATTGTTTTGTTGCTTCCATTACATATGCTAAGAAAACAGCAAGTTGCTGCAAATGATCTATACCTATATGAGATCACTACACAAAAGGCAACTATAGTTGCTGGACAAAAGGCAACGTATAGTTGCTGGACAAAAGGCAACTATATTTCCTGCACAAAAGACTACCTAAAGTGTTGTCTGGGCTATCCTACTGTCCAGACTCCAGATTGACCTCTCTTGGTCTTACCTGTCTTCTTACTAGGGGCAGCACAGTTGTTCTTCACTATCTTGGTCCTTGAGGTCCTTCCAGTCTTTGTTGCTGTTGTAAGTGGAGTATGCCTTGATGGTGGGAGGTTGGAAATGATGTAGGTAGAGTCTGACAATGGTGAAGTAGATGGAATGTGCCTCATGTTTTGTGAAGCCTGAATACAATAGGTTACATCAGTTTTGTGATATGCCAGTAATAAATGGTTGTGACTGAAACTGAAATGAACATTACTTGTACCTCATCTAGTAGTTGTGACAACATGGGGTTCTCTACTTGGGACATTACTGGTACCTCAACTAGGTTAGTCACCTCCTAAACCAATAATAAAGTTAGATAGTTACATTTGCACATGTAAAATGTATGGTTGTGGCTGTGCACATACCTGGGAATGACTCACCTCATAACTTGGTTGTTGCTCTGGCTTAGTTGTAGTTGTAGTAGCAGTTCTAGTTGGTTTTTTTGTTTTCTTAATAGCTGGTAGGCTTGCCTTCTTTGCTTCACACCTAGCTGAGTTATGACCAGTTTGTCCACAATGGCTGCAGTGCATGATTACTCCATGTTTGGACAACCTTGGTCCATTAGGACCTTGAACTTCATGTGCTGCCCTTTTTCTTGCCTTAGGTGGTCTGCCTACCCTCTTCTCATACTTAGGTGGTTGCACTTCTGGACCTCCAACATTCTCCCAGGAAGATTTTTCAGAACATGGATATATGTTACAGCCATATGCATTTTTGAATGCATCAATGGAGTAACAATTTGGGAGCACTAAATCTTCTAGGATTCTTTCATGCTTCAGGCAAGAAATGGCATGGCTGCATGGTATGCTTGTCAACTGCCACCTTCTGTATTCACAATTTTTGCCCATAAGATCAACCACATACTGCCACTCTCGGTCATGAACTTCAAAGATACCATTCCCACTTGGTATAGGATAGCATGTGTTGGAGAAATTAGCATGCCTAGCTAACTTTTTCCTGATCTTTGGGCATATGGCCATTCCTACCCATTTCTCAGTCACTTCTTTCTATTTATTGTAATGCATGACCATTAGTTGGGACTTGATCTTCTGTATCATGGTCAAGATAGGCAGTTCTCTAGCTTCCAAGATGTAATTATTGAAAACTTCACAAGTGTTGTTTAACAGGATATCACATTTCGGGTACTCACTGAAAAAGGCTCTAACCCAAGTGTTTGGTGGCATCTTCTCTAACCATGCATAGGCATCCTTGTTGAGCACTTTCATTTTCTCCATTTCTTGGTTCCACCTTGTTACTGTACTTGCTCTAGCACATGCCCACAGTTCATTCTTCAAGTTTTCCCCTTTGAAGTGGCCTTGGAAGTTTGAGTATAGATGCCTAACACAGAACCTATGCTCAGAGTCAGGGAAAACTTGCTGGACAGCAGGGATTAGTCATTTTTGTTTATCTGTCATTATGGTCCAAGGAGTGGTGTTGTCTATGCCAAGGTCCTATTTTAGTGTCTCTAGGAATCACTTCCATGATGCTAGACACTCTACCTCTACCACTGCCATGGCTACAGAAAAGATACAATCATTTGGGTCTATGCCTACAGCAGTGAGTAGCTGTCCCCCAAATTTAGTCTTGATGTGGCAGCCATCTAGACATATCACTGGCCTGCATCCACTGAGGAAACCCATCTTACAAGCATCGAAAGACACATAAAGTGAACTGAAGTAGCCATCAAGCAAGTTCAGAAAGAAGCTACTACCTGGATTTGACTTCCTAAGTTCATGACCATAGTTCCAAAGAAGATTGAATTGCTGCACTTCATCTCCATAAATGATGTTCCATGCCATCCTTCTTGCCCTACTCAGCTTCATCCTAGAGGGGGTCAAGTTCAACTCCAACTGAACTATCCTTCCAAAATTGGTCAGGCTCATCTTTTCATCAACCCTAAACTTGTCCAAGTACTTGTTAGCTAGCCATTTTGCAGTGCACCTCTTAAGCACCCATTTCTTCTGACAATGGTGATCACCAACATAAGATTTGATCAAGAAACATTCCATCCTAGAATCAAATGAAGCATACAATTACCATGGACAACCAACATCACAATGAGCTTTGATTCTGGTCTTGTCATTCTATGGCATCTTTATCTCCACCCTATGTTTGATACTGTATTCTGTAATAGCCTTTCTTAGCAGTTGTACTGATGCAAACTTCATTCCAATTTTGAAAATAGGGTTCTGCAGGTCCTCTGGCCTGAAGGTCTTCAAATTCATCCCAACCTGGCCCTCTTCCTCAGCTGGTAACTCCAACTCATCCTCATCAGATGACAGCTCATCCCATTCCCTAACCGTTGCCATCTTCTCTTTGCCATATGGAGCATTTCTCTTCTTCCCTTTGCTGACTACAATGCCCTTGGCTGCACCCTCATCAACCACCCCATCATCAACATTGTCATAGAATAGGTCATCATCATCATCATCAACTTCATAGTCACTGTCTAAGAAGTACCCATCTATACTGCCATCATTGTCACTGTTGTTGTTGTTGCCCACGTCATCTCTTTCAGGTGGCACATTCCTAGGACTTAACATTTTGGGTAGTGTACCAATTGGATTCAACACAATGTCTTTGTCAAATGAATTATAGATATCAAAATACATCACAAAGTTTTTGATCTTATATGCAAATTGGTTCATGATTTGTGTATCTGCATCTGAGTCTACAATTCTCAAACCAGTAGGCACAACCATCTCAGGCAACAACCAGTACACCTCCACATTGTCAAGTCCATAACCTAACATCACACTAATCCCATCAACTGCGAAAAAACGCCAATACTTCTCTTTGATATGGTCAAACCAATCAACCTTGCCATCAAGATAAATCTGATCTTTACCAGACCCACAGAAAAATCCCCCATGATGTATTTCCACAAAGAACTCGTCATCATCAAGCCCTAAACATTCAGATAAACCTAAAGTTCAGTGCTTTGCCTGACAACCCAATCTATGCATCAAATCCATGTACTACCACACCAAGTTTGCGGCACTTACCATAAACAGGTGCTAGTTCCCCTTCCAATCGTCGGCGACCGGCCATGGTGCCGTGCCGCGCCGCGCCGCGCCACACCTTCCACGGCTTCAACCAAACCTCTTTATTTTCCTTATTACTACCAGAATCTTGTTGTCCATGGAGGGAGGCACACGGACACACCTGATTCTTGTGATGGCGACGACGTCCTTGGCCTCGACCTGCTCACGGCACCCGCTCGTGAAGCGTGGTGACCGCGCCCCTCACGAGGCCGCTCTCGCCCCCATCTGACCCCCGTCGAGCACACCCCTCACGAGCACGCGGCGAGATGGGGAGGCGGGCAACTGAAAGGTCGAGATGGCGGACTAGAGGGGGGGTGAATAGTCTTTTCTAAAATTAATCGCGTCGGCTAACCGATATAAATGCGGAATTAAAACAATCGTTCTAGCCAAGACTACACCCCTCTATATATGTTCACTAGCACCTTGCAAAGATACTAATAAAGCAACTAAGGTGCCGGGCTAGCTAGAGCTCTCCTAAACAATTCTAGGAGCAAGGTCACACAAACCTATGCTACTAGTACTTTAAGTAACAAGGGAGCTCCTACACATGCTAGTAAGCAAAAGCACAAAGCTAACTAAGCTCACTAGCAATGCTCAATAACAAGGCAACCAACGCCTAATTAGAGAGCGCAAATACTTAGCTACACAAACTAAGCAATGTGACTAACAAGGTTACTAAAACCAAATTAGCCACGCAAGAAAGCTACTTCTATGCTACACAAGCAAGAAGGTAATTAGCTAGCTACACAAGCTATCTAATTACAAGAGCAACTACACAAGCTTAAGATATATATATAAGTAATTGCAAGCTTGTGTAATGGGGATGCAAACCAACGGGAAGAACAAGGTTGACATGATGATTTTTCTCCCGAGGTTCACGTGTTTGCCAACACGCTAGTCCCCGTTGTGTCGACCGCTCACTTGGTGGTTCGGCGGCTAATTAGCATCACCCGCTAAGCCCGCACGTCGGGCACCGCAAGAACCTACCCCTTGAGTGAGGGTAGCTCAATGACACGCTTTACTAAGGTTGCTCTTCGCGACTCCCGTGGGGCGAGCACAATGCCCCTCACAAGCACTTCTCCGGAGCGCCAGACAAGCTTCTTTGCGGCGCTTCGACGGAGACCACCACCAAGCCATCTAGGAGGTGGCAACCTCCAAGAGTAACAAGCACCACCGCTCAAGCAACTCGATCATCTAGTGCCACTCGATGCAACCTCACGATGCAATCGCACTAGAATCGCTCACTCACACAATCGAATGATCACTATCAAGTATATGTGTGATGGAGGGCTCCCAAGCACTCACAAGCATGGACACTAAGTCCCTTGAGGTGCTCAAGACCAGCCATGGCCGAGGGCCACTTCTATTTATAGCCCCAAGGGCTAAACTAGCCGTTACCCCTTCATCTGGGCAGCGGTCGGTCGGGCCGACCGGACGCTCGTCCGATGACCGGACGCTGGACCTCGGCGTCGCCGTCGTGCGATGCACGCCACGTGTCCCTCCTTCAAACGCTGTTCATCGGATCTCAACGGTCATCTCGTCGATCGGACGCACCAAGATGAACCGGACCGGACGCAGAATTCCGGCGTCCGGTCGTTTCAATATAGTATGCCGACCTCGACCGGACGCGTCCGGTCACATTTTGATCGGACGCAGCCAGCGTCGTCGGTCACACTCCCACTTCTGCGTCACACATCAGACGTTACCGACGGACGCACCTTCCAGCGTTCGGTGTATTCAGATTCAGCGTCCCGGCCGCTTGACTGACGCCAACATCTTCGCGACTAACTCGTTTTCACTTCTAACTTCATCACCCTTGCTCCAATGTGCTAACTATTAAGAACTTGCAACGGCGCAATAGAAAATAGGCATTCTATTTTCCCGAAAGCGCCGAATCCCCGCTCGCAAGTTTCGGCGGGAGGAGAGAGGGACCCAAACCCATCTCACCCCTCGCAAACACCACCTCCTTTGTAAATGTGCCAACACCACCAAGTGTACACCACCATGTGTATGTGTGTTAGCATTTTCACAATCATTTCCCAAAGGATGTTAGCCACTCAACTTGCCACGCCACTCGATCCTAGCGACAATGCAAAGTTAGATCACTCGAGTGGCACTAGATGACCGATATGCAAACAAGTTTGCCCCTCTTGATAGTACGGCCATCTATCCCTAACCCAGATCATAAACTTCTCTACACACCTATGACCGGTGAAATGAAATGCCCTAGGTTATACCTTTGCCTTTGCGCATTCCATTCCATCTCCTTCAATGTCGATGCAACATATGCACCAACACGATCAACAATGATATGATCCACTTCATATCATCACATGATCATATTGGTTCATCGATCTTGACTCTACTTGCTCTTCACCGCTGTATATCGTCCATCGGCACCAAGTCTTGCTCAAGCTTCACCGCCACGCGGTCCATCACTCCAAAGCCTTTGACTTGCCCTTCACGCTTGCAACCGGTCCATCAAGCCAAGTCTTGTCTTGATCTTCTCCACCTTGATCACATGACTCAATGTCATGTCTCATGTGCAATAAGCTCCTTCATCATCACATGTGTGAGCTTTGCAACATCTCCAAGCCATTTTCACCTCCATGGCATATGTTGCTCATACACATGTACCTGTGGACTAATCACCTGTGTATCTCACATAAACACAATTAGTCCACCTAGGTTGTCACTCAATTACCAAAACCAACAAGGACCTTTCAGCAACGGCGAGACTGGAGGGAGGCGGGTGGCGATGAGATTGTGGGGGAGGGGGGCGGCGAGAATGGAGGGGCCGGGGCGGCAAGACTAGGAGGGCCGGGCGGCGGCGATTTCACGGGCGGCGGCGGTGTATCGAGAGAATACGAGAGAGAGAAGACCGGCACGGGAGACTTCAGGGACGGGAGGGGTTTCAGCCGTACTGCACCTAGGGACCAAGAAGTGACCAGCCACGTTCGGTGGCGGGGGGGGGGGGTCAGCAAAAATCCCATGACGATTGCGATGCCGGTGCCTACGTGGCTTGTCCACCTAAGCTGTTGTTGTCTGCGTGGCCTAATCTTGTGCTGTTGGTGACAAAAAATATAGATCCAGTACCTAGTTGGTAGGTTTTTCAGTTCAAGTACCTATTTGGGAACCACACAATAGTTTGAGTACCTATGGTGTATTTTACTCTTTAATTTTCTATCACTCACATCGCAATCAACAGGCCATGAAAAATTAAGTGCAATTTCTTATATTTTATTTACATCGGATTTTATTTGGCAATTTACAAATGTCAATCAGGGGCATAATAGACCGTTCGTATGAAAACAACACATTTGTGGAGCTAGAGCTAGGCTATGTGTCAAACAGTACCACATGCTCCACAAACTCCACGTTGGAGCTGCTCCATAGTGAAGTTCGTGGAGCATAGCTGCAAAAATAGGAGCCAAGAAATTCCAAACACCCCCTTATAATCGACCACGACCACGACCCCGGCGCATACACATATTTGCATGTTGGCATGCAACTTAGCCACGGACGTCCTCGGTTTGGTTTCAGCCAGATTCGATCTCTATTTCGCATGAACAGACGATTCTCTTGCGTAATGCAGACTCTGCAGCGGGGCGTATGAAGCATGGATGTATTTGGTAGTCTTTGTGACCGGATATCATATGTTTTTTATATCATCAGATGTATTTGGTAGTCTCTGTGGCCAAATAGTATATATTTTTTATCACCAGATAGATGATTACTTTAGAGTCTTTTTAGATGTAAAGACAGAGGAGAGAGATATAGCGGGTCGTACTGGATTTATTTATTTCTGGTGCGTTCCATGCCATAGTGTCAACTCGCAACTTGCAAGTTTTAGTATTGGTTTTCCAATACTATGTTGTCCGGCCGTGGCATGGCCGATAGTGAGACGTCAACCACCAAGCATGCCACTTGTTCTAAGACTTGCAGACTGTTTCTTTAGGATAATCACATATGAACAATGATAAATTATAAAATACTATATGGTACATGTTTAATTTATCACGATTTGGACCCACAGAATAAAAAAAATCGGACAGGTGCCGTTTTTTCCTCGATTTCTGACTTTGCTCCGGCCGGTAGCTCTGGTGAGATCGAGTGTTATAGTCTATACCAATTGCCAAAAAAAAAGTGTTATAGTCTACCATTAGTCTTGGTTGTTGAGATAAAGAGGTTACAGAAATGACACAACATTGATGTGATGCACAATGACCTTGGGGAGATTTGTACACATGGGCGGCTAAAATTTCTCTAGATAACGTTGTTTTTTTTATAAAAAAATCCACACATGCATTGTTTCCAACATTTATACCGACAGTAAGAGGAACCTAGTGAGAAACATGGTATCATCAACCTATCAGGTACAGGAAGGAAAACATCTGCAAAATCTTTGCTTTCAGGCGTAGTCATCACAGAGAATCTCAATGACTGTTCTGTACCAGTAACTCTGGAGGCTTGCGTTCAGGAAATCGGAGCAACCATTTTATACCTTCTAGAATCATGTGAGGCTCCACATGTAGGTCAAATAAGAAGTTAAATTTATGCAAGTTTTTTTAAGCCATCTAGTTTCTCTCTCAATGAAAAACATCCATTGAGAGAGAAAATAATATCATTTAGCCTGGCTAGTAAATTAGTAATTGATCGAAACATGTTTTAGCGTGAATGTTCATATCCTGAAAAAATTTATACTTACTTGAAATATAATAGCGTTCGTTTAAATATTCCCCTGGTTGTTGCATCTATATATTACTATTATAAGATATAAGATGCTGGCTACCTTATCGTTTGGTTAACAAATACGAAGTCAATACCTTGATGAACGCATGCATAATTATTTATCATTGGTTATCTTTCTCGGATCACAAATCCAACGCAGTGGTATCTGGCAGGATATGCACATGATGAGAAGTAAAAGAAAGGGTCTTCCGTCAGAACAATAAGTAAAAGAAAGACTACAGTCAGCACTCAGCACTGCCCATTTCTTTTGTTTAA